AAGGCAACGTCCCAATAATTTTGGCAATATAGTGTATATGTATATATATATATATATATATATATACACTATATACACTATATATACAGCATAAACTTGTAGCCAGTATAATAGCGACTATGGATTCCCTGGCTTTTTTGAGTTACCAACCAGCATTGCTCTGCTAGTGTAATTAGCGTTGCTCTGCTGTCACAAATCAATAGTTTAGAAGATGTTATCATAGATGGATTTTAGGGCACAGCAAATATGGATGGACACCAAAACATGGATGGGCTTACACATACCTTCGCTGGTCCAGTAAAAGCCTATGCACATGTATCAAGGATCTCAAGGATTGAATGCCTTCAGAGTAAATATAAATACATAAAATATGTATGTACTTATAGTCAATAAACTAAAAGTAAAAATGTTCAACATTATATTTCAAAACAACACCCTACTTTTCCCATTAGACACCAGCGCTTCTTGAGATAAGCTTCAACCTAGAATGTTTTATTATATTATGATGTATAGAACTGTTTACTACCCAGAATGCATAGATTCCCTGGCTTGATATTAAAGTCAAGCAATGAATCTCTTATAATACATTTAGTGAAATTCATGTCGGCTGATCTTAAACAGTGTATATTGCGCCGCAATTTACTGGGACTGTCTGGAGATGAGTACAATGATAGCAACGTAGCACAAGTTTCATTTATTTACAACAAGCTCTTTACTTTGATTGACATTTTGAATCAGGGTGAAATATGTATTCAATTCCATCTTGGAAAGGTCAATCACGCTTGGCTGTCACTGTATGCCTCATTGTAGCGAGCACTAATTCCAAGCTATTTGGAGATGTAACTGGTATAGAATTTAGGCTGGTTTATTTAATGGGCTGATTTAAGTGCATTTTGTTCAAATGTATTTCAAAGGTATGAATCGATCATCCTAAGGCAAGTTTCTTTAGCTAAAGCACACATCTTTTGTGTTCTGAAAGAATCACTGGATTAACAGATAGAAAATAATATCAGCGCTAAGATTCAATCAGGACATCTGTCACTTTTATCATCCAGAGAGATGTCCAGCATTTCAATGAGAACACCGGGGGAAGGAGAAGATGCAGCAAAAGGACAATGTTGTAAGACAGAGCAACACCAAATGAATTATTTGATATTTTACAGACTTCATTTTCTATCATGCTAGCAGGTAGGACATTAAAAGAAAGTGGCAGATTAAAGGAAAGTGTGGTTAACATTTTGTGAATATTACGAATGCATGCTCCAGTTTATTTTTTTCTACTTGTGAGCACATTTTTTTTACATTAAAGTGTATCTCAAACACCCCATAAGAATAATATATTGAGGCTTACCGTCTCTTAGCTTTGTAAGTAAGAAATCGTTAAAGGGATAAAACACCTGAGGAAACTACGTTCCACATCTAAGCCTGTTTTTTATTCTCAAAGCCATATCAGCTTGAGAATCCACGTTATCTGGTGAGTGTGGGTGAAATGATTTACCACTGATGATGTGAGCACGCTGGAAAATGTATGAAGTTGTTCTTATAATTTTATTTTGTCACTTTTTTTGGGACACTGAACTTTAATTTGGGACTTTGTTTTTGGACTTATATATTATAAATTTAAATTTTATTTTTTATTTGCGCTGTGTCACTTTATAAGTCTTGTTTGATGTTTAGTCATTTTTTTGAACAGCAGCATTTATTGTGATTGATTGTTATTTCTTTGGCGCAAGGTTTTAATTTATTATTCTTAGCTTTATTTTTTTTTCAAGCTTTCCTTCTCTAGTAAAATAAAAACAGACAAAGAAGCACTATGTAATTTTTTAGAGCTGCACTGGTTTCTGTTTTTATTTTCCGTCTCTAGTGATTCTGCAGTAACACATTTACTGTCCAATACTGATAATACTCTCTTGCCATACAGTGTCAGGATCACAGAAAGTAGAATGCCAAAAACTCAGAGATAACTAAAAACAATGTAGCTGACAAGATGTAGCTTTGCTCTGAAGAAGGGGGCATGCCCCCCGAAACACACCAGCTGGTTTTATCATCCACTTGAACCTAAGAAGTTCTACCAATGGGGTTGCTTTCGGTTCCTGGGTCTTTATACTACACTGTTATTCATGAGTATTTTTTATATCTTTTATTTTTAAATACATTACTGAAGGAAATGTACTAGGTGTTTGTTCAACATCAAAAAGCAAACAAAAATGCCCAGCTCACTTGCCAGCTAGTCTGCAACAAACCAAATTGGCCCTGTCAAACATCTCATTTTAAAACAAGGGGTTTCGATTGCACGCATTTACAAATCTATGTGTAAGCTGCAGCAGCCACGTCCTGACACCCCAATGTACGGCAGTCCTAACTCTATAATTTTGAGAGTCTTCCAAGTTGGGGCACATATATAGTAATGGATAGAGTAAAGTCAGGTATGCCTGGAGGGAAGCCAACCCTCCGTAATGGTACAGATACTCACTGGACACCCAGCAAGAGCACAATGGCAGCTGAAGGTATTCAGTGTATCCCCATACCAATTCACCAACTGTACAAACAAATGGCAACTACCCCAACCTATAACTGTCCTTTGCAGCAAGGAGCACATGAAAGGGAAATGCATGTCAAAAAACAAACAAAAACCTCCAGCTCACTTACCAGCCAGACTGCAGCAAACTGAATTGGCTCTGTCTAACAGTTCACATTAAAAAACAAGGGGTCTAGTTTGCACACATTTGCAAATATGCACATAGGCTGCAGTGGCCACATCATGGCACCCCAGTGTACTGCATTCCCAAGTCGATAACTTTGAGTCTCCCATGTTAGGGCACATATATAGGTGTCTGTACCTTTTGTTTTTATTTTTTGCACAGTTATGAGATTCCCTTATCTTTAGAGGGCTGAAATGCCTAAAAAATTCAGTCTGGGTTGCAAAGTGACTGCCACATCAGAAGTACCCATGGCCCACCTCTCTGAGAGTTCCTAGCACTACGAAGTCAAGTTTCCATTTCTTTTAAGACAAGCAGTGAAGACAAGAAGTCATCAGATGGCAAATTTAACACTTTTTTGCACTTAATAAAGAAATAGAACAGATGGCTTTCAATTGTATATTTAACATATCAACATTATGTAAATAAGGCAAGTTTATTGTTAGGGTTTTCATATTCTCTACAAGCTGGCATATGGACAACACGTGTGAAACATTCGTAGACCTGTTTTTTCATGCTGTTTTCATATTTTGCACTTTTGATGAAATTCATAGGTTTTTTTTTTTAGATGTGTCCATGAAGGTGCACCATCCTATTCCATCAACAGAAAGGAAATATACATTTTTGCTTCAGTTTTGCTCAAATAGTCTTTGGAAAAGCACATTAATTCCCTTAAAATTTCATAAATCTGAATCACAATAGCTGACTTGATAAAACTATAGACATATTTGTTGTTTTCCACTTTTACAAATAAACTGATAGTGTTCATCATACCTTAGCAGCCCTGAATATTTTCATTAAAATTCTTATTAATTACTGAGCTGCTCAGCCATGCTGGCATGTAATTTTCCCATATAGCTGAAGGCATGCGTGATATCATTTTATATCCATTTATCTAATTATCACATTAAAAACAAATAAAAACAAGTCAAATTTCATAATGTTTTTTCTCTTTTATAATGTCAACAGATTTTAACAGAATTGAGTGACAGCTTGATTGTCGATTGTGGATTATAAGCAACCACAGCAGATAAACCTAGAATGAAGATTTTATTGTCAGCTGTTTATCTGCATTTGGTTCAATACAAGCATTCATACATATGTCAGTCACCAATGATTGATATTATCCTGGAGTGTATGTGATTTAAAATGGTTCTCAATTGGGAAATACATTTTAAACTTTATATATGCATGTACAGTATTTTATTTTGTATGCTTTGTCTACTGCAGCCAACATCCGTACTCACATTCCTAAGACCCTGATAAGAAACTAGCCTACTTATGTACCGCATACAATTATAATATTGATAAAATACCGATGTTACTGGTTACAAAATAGCCTCATATGCACCAAATAAACAGAACAGTTATTTGGAAAGATGCTGGGTGCATATTAATGTGTCTGTTTTCTACTGCCATAGTTATTATTTGGTACCACTGATCCATATTAGGATAGGAATTGCCTATCTAAAAAATTTCCAAGACACTGCAAAGCAGGAAAGAACTTTTTCAGCGAATTTAGAAATTGGAGTGGAAAGAGGATTTCAGAGTTCAATAGAACTTACTTCAGAGGCTTCAGCTTTAGCACTCCTGCTGTTTTTGAATTACAGGTCCCATGAGGCACTGTAAGGTACCATGCACTAGGAAGTATGTTTTTCTATCTCTCCTAAATGCCTTTCCTCCTGGCAGTGACATTTTGGCGAAAAAAAAAAAAAACACTTGTAAGCACATTTAATGGATTTAGGCTTGTTTAGGTACATCAAGTGTTTGGCCATTAACCTCCCTGGCGGTATGATTATTTCTGATTTTTGGTGCTGAAAGCGGTACCATTATTTTGCATGGAAATATGTAGTTTTTTTTATTGTAAGCCTGTAATTTTTAGGAATAACTCACTGAAATCTGTCCGAACAAGAGTCTAGTAAACATAAAACTTGAAACACGAAATCAAAAAATTGTAATTTAATAAATAATCATAAAAAAAATAATAATTTAATAATCATACATTTAATTAAATAATATAATCAAACCCAAAACACTGAAATTTGAAATATAGCACCAAGTTCGCACATCACTGAGCAAAGTCGCAGAATCGTTTTCAGTGGCTGATGACGAATTTCCCCACGAATCATTTTCACTCAATTCTGCAAGTAGTTCTAATTTACTATCGCTGTTCTCTAGCTGGTCTAAAACCGCTTTTGACCTAAAGGGACGCTTTTTGGACGCCATGGACGTTTCTCAGTTTCCAGGCAGAAAGAACAGTAAAAATGCAGGCAGGGCACAGGACAAAGCTCTAGGGACAAAATGTATGTGAAATGTTTTGAAAACAGTAATGTTTTACTATGTGATTTTAGTGAATTTAGTGAATGTCACTTTTTGTCATTTTCCAATTTCCCGCCGTTCCGTCCCCCGTACATCCCGACATCGCAGGGGACGGAACCCAGAAGACAGATGCCAGCATCCGCCGGAGGACATTACAGGGGACACTGCAGGAGGGAAATCGCAGGAGCGCAGGACAAGGTAAGAGAAGAACAGATCCCGGAGCATGGTAAGCCCGAGTGTAACTCGGGGTTACCGCTTGTGGTACTGAAACTTTACCCCGAGCTACACTCGGGAATACTGCAAGGGAGGCTACGAGTCATGGTTGTGATCTTTGAGGAATAATTACTAATCTGTGCTGAAAATGTGCACAGATCGTGGGTTTTCGGCACCATGTTCTAGTGTGAACCTAGCCTTAGAAACCCACTAAAACCTGACTTAAGAGTCACGGTTGTGATCTTTGAGGATTAATTACTGCCCAAAACTCCCCACTACTTCCAAAGTCACTGGAGGCTTGTTTTAAAACTTTTATATGGCTTTATAAGAATATGTATATATTTTAATGGCCATACTGCTAACACAGGTGCACATTAAAGCAATTGTCCCCCATACTGGGTAAGCAACAAGTTTGCTTTCTCTCCAGTACCAGGTACTCCCATTTCCTTTTATTTCTCTTCACACCATTCAGGCTATGCTCACTTCTCCAGTATATCCTTGGAAGGAGTCATAGTTCCCGCCTAGGATGGATTTCAATCATGTTTGACTTTGTTCATGTCCAATACTTGAGGGTTGGTGGGTTTAGTAGTTTACAGAACAATGATAACATTGTTTTTGGTTCCAGTTCATCACACAAGAAGTGACATCGATACTGCATTTGTTGGCAGATCAAAAGGTACATTCATGTAGATTGTCATTGCTGAAAATGTTCTTAGCATTAAGGCCCCATTTACATCTTGGAAGGAGTCATAGCTCCCATCTAGGATGGACTTCAATCTTGTCTGACTTTGTTCATGTCCAATACTTGAGGGTTGGTGGGTTTAGTAGTTTACAGAACAACGATAACAATGTTTGTGGTTCCAGTTCATCTCACAAGAAGTGATAACGATTGTGCATTCTTGGAAGATCAACAGGTACATTCATGTAGATTGTCATTGCTGAAAACGTTCTTAGCACTAAGGCCCCATTTATATCTGAGCGATTTGGAATCGTGGGCAAAATTGGCATGACTTTTCCCACATTTCCAAATTACGCTGAGCTGAAATCATGGCAAAAGACACAACACACATTTGGGGTGCCATTACTTTTTAATGGCACCCCAAATGTGGTGCAATTTCTACCACGATTGCTGCATGTAAAAAAAAAGGCTGTGAAAAAATGTACCTGGCTCAGGGTTAAAATGTGGAGCTATTTTCATGTGACAAACACTAATAAGGCAGCTCATTCAAGTGAATGGGCTGCCCAATGCATGACACGAGTAAGCATGTGTAAATCTTGTAAAAAAAATTGCAAGAAGCAAAGCACATTCCCACTATGAGAAATGTGAATGGGGCCTCAACATATAAATTAATGCAGCCAACACATGAAGGACTAGTTGCAATATACACTTTTCTTTTTGCAGTTAGATACGCAAATGATGAAATATCAGGGTTTTTTTTTATTACTTGCGTAAAATGATCACTTGGAATAATAGGAGAGAAGGCACACCCGATGTCCAAAAGAATGCAAGTTCAATGGTAAACTAAGATATTTATTGAGAATAACGACAAGTATATCTTGCTCGTGCGTTTTGGAAGAAAAGGGCTCTCCTGTTTTCAGGGCTGTTGCTGCATGCTATTAAATGGGAATAATTCCCATGCCGGTTATATACAGTATTTGTGAAGTTTCAAAAATAAAACTGACAAAATGACAGCTGAGATTCCAGGGGCAGCAAAGGATTTTTGAAGAAGGGAGAGCCCCTACCTTCTGAAACGTGTTGTATTTATATACTTATCGCTATTCTCAATAAAAGTCTCTTAGTTGACCATCGAACTTGAATTCTTTTGGACATCGGGCGTGCCTTCTTTCCTAGTATTCCAAATCTACATGTGGAAATGACCTTAAGGCCATACCAGAAAGGCAGCCCAGGCCCTAAGAGGGTTCACCGCCAGTATCCACCATTGGGCACGTCCTACTGGAGGGACTTCTCTTTACTCACCCACACAATCACCCACTCATGACCAGTGACTGATCCAGCCAGTCCAGCACGGTCTTCAGCACAAACAAGATACTAAAGTGATCACTGTAACACTTGTACGAATGTCTTAGTAGCCAAAAAACAAAATAAGAAAAATATTGTAAAGCTTTGTTGGTTATGATGTTTTCTTACACAAACAATGGTCTCTACCTAAAATATAAAACAGCTGTTTTGTGCAATTAAACAAAATTGCCATCCCTTGCAGTTATAGCTGTGCGATCCAGAAAAGATTGTATCTCTGTGCATGAAAACAAATGTTATGAAAATCTAAGCATTATTCACATTATCTTCAACATAATTCTGTTTTAAAGAACTGCCGGAATTATTTTTTTCATTTGTCTCAGTGAGATCAGAAGAAATGAATTATTGGTAAATTAAAGTGTAGAGAAGAGAGTACAGGTACATTCACCTCTGAATTATTCCCTATATATAGGATGAAAGCAAAATTAAATAGAATGAACTGACTGAGGTCTAATGTGAACGCATATTTGTTCTAAAGCTCTTGAGATCAGAAGAAATACATTAATACAGAGCAGTGTGCCTGAGCCAACAATGAGGACTGTTAATAAACAAAGCAGCCCTCCTCCCATCAGAGATCCTAGGGAATCAACAGGCGCCAGCGGGTAATCATTGGTCGGGACCCAGTGATTGACAGCTGAGGCTCCTGGAAATGCAAAATCACATATATACGTGATTTTGCACACTCCTGCCGCCCTGTAGCAGTATATCTGCTATAGGGAGGTGGGGATGTGGTTAAATGCTGATTTATAGTGTAAACATTGCAATGTTAAGTAGTTAGTCAATTCCTTATCAACCCTCCAACCAAACTCCCCCCACCCTCTTATTTTGCACATGATAGTTCTCTTCTCTACACTGTTGGGCACTGATAGGCTGCACTGATGGGCACTGATGAGGCTGCATTGATGAGCATTGATCAGGGGGCACAGATAATGACACTGATGGGCACTGATAGGTGGCACTGATAGGCAGCACCGATGGGCACTGATAGGCAGTACTGATAAGGAAGCACTGATAGCTGGCACTGATAGGTATTGATAGGCAGCACTGATGGGCACTGAACTGCAGCACTAATGGGCACTACATAGTTACATAGTTACATAGTTAGTCTGGCTGAAAAAAGACAAAATTCCATCCAGTTCAACCATAAAAAAAACAAGTTATAATTCTGCATCCACAGATGAGCCAGAGAAAGGCAAAAAAAACCACAGTAAAGCATGATCCAATTTGCTCCCGCAGGGAAAAAAATTCCTTCCTTATCCCCCGAGTGGCAAATGGATATTCCCTGGATCAACTTTACCTATAAATGTTAGTATCCAGTTATATTCTGTGTATCTAAGAAACAATCCAGGACTTTTTTAAAGCAATCCACTGAGCTGGCCAGAACTAACTCTTGAGGGAGTCCATTCCACATTTTCACAGCTCTCACTGTGAAGAAACCTTTCCGTGTTTGGTTATTAAATTTCTTTTCTCCAGACAAATGGGTCTGGGAAACTGATTAGTGCCCTGATTATCAGTGTAAATGTCCCCTTTCAGAATTGCCAATTACCTACTCTCCTTTCCTCACGCTGTGACAGTCTGAAAAACACAGCAATCACAGAACATGTCGGCGGTGCATTCCAGGGCGGGCACTGGGGGGTAAAAGGGGTGGTAAGACATCTAAAGAGGCCCTCACAGAACTAGCCAACCATGGTGTTGACGTCTTTTGGCTATAGTGCAGTCAGTAACTGATTAAAAACTGAGTTTTTGCTGCATTCCTGTGTAAATGTATGTAAAGAGATGCCCGTAGCAAAAAAGAAAGAAAGAAAATAGCGCAGGGCAGGTATGGCGAGGCCAAGAGTGGTTAAAGAAAAGACAAGAAAGGGTTAAATTAGCACTAGGTGGGGTTGTAAGGGATAGATATGTCCTGATTGGTAGCTGGGGAGTGTAGGTGGGGTCTTCTACACCTTGAGGTTGGGGATGTGGAGGGTCATCCTCATTCATTGATTTGCAGGAGAAGAGAGAGCTTCCCTCCCGCCCTGCCTTGTTTTCCTGTGGGTTTTTGTGTCACTCCCGGGGTGGGGGGTGTTTTATTCAGGTTTGTGTGTGGTTGTTGGTTTTTGGAGGCGGTACTTGTTTTGGAAGGTAAAAATAAATGGTTTGGGACCCATCGGTGGTATGGTGTGCCCGGGGGCATTCCAGTTAACCAAGGTTTAACTGGAAGGTGATGGTGCTCCACTGCGGATGGTATGGTTGTCTCCGAGCCGGTGTGTTGCGGCTGGAGGCCTGGTGTAATATGTTTTCCGCAGGTGGATATCGGTTCGGTTTTGGTGCCTTCGAAGACCAACAACTCTGACTATGTGTTTCTGTTTTAAGGAATGTTTTGTGTATTTGAAGTTGAAGTGTTAATAAAAGGCCGTGTTGGCCATTTTTACTCCAATCGGTGTTATGGTTTCTTCTTTAATGATAAGTTATAAAGGGCTGATATGTGAAGAGGGATATGGTGGTGTAGTGGGTCTTGATTAGCCTATCTCTTGTGCACTAGTCAAGCAATACAGCTGTGTCAAGGCACCTCATCAATGTGTGGTCCCTCAACTCAAAAGTACCTGAGCTCCTGAACGTTAATATGCATATAGTAATGTATTTACTGAGAGCAGGCTTACCAGGAGGCAGACCCTTCCTCCCTTTACATTTTCCATCTATTTGCAATTTCATGCAACAAAAACTTCTGCTGATAACCTATTTTTCTATATTAAGCAAACCAAACATAATCAGTACATTTCTTCAATGCAAGCACAATTTCGGGTTGGTTTGCAAGGAATGCATAGTGCCTTTGTTGGACAGAAACCCAGAGCAGTGTTGACAGTGCTGCCTCCTGAGCTACAGAACGTCACCTATCCTCTGTCTCTAACTGTCCCTCTCCACATGTGTGCACTAATTTCTTTCCCAGCAAAGCACGTCTTTTGTTTTGACTCCCAACAAGCTTCCCACACACTGGGGTTAATTTACTAAAGGCAAATAGGCTGTTTGCTTTGCAAGGGAAGTTGCACTTTGCAAGGGAGTTTCTCCTGAGCTTAGTAAATGT